CATCCAGGCGAATAAATAGCAAATTTGAATTATTGCCAAGCATATCTAATATATCACACATTGTATAAGATCATTACAAATTTTATATATATACATATGTATATTAATTTAATTTTGGAATTTAGTATGTATAATCTTAAAACATGATAATTAATAATTTATTATTGTTAAAGTTAATTGTAAATATAATATTAAGAAACAAAATGAAAAGGTTAAAGTTTTAATGTAGATAGAAAAGAGATGAAATTCGGTTTCGCTTTTGATCTATTACTAGGAACCATTAACAGTACAATAGAAACATTTAATATTTTCGAATGCCTTATATATAGATTAGAAATATAAGATTAATAATGTTAAATTATTAAATATAATTATCGTAATTTTTTAACTTTTTTCCATATTATAGCTTTCTTACCGCATATAGATTTTTAGAGTTATAATTCGTGCAAATTCGTACGTGCAAATACGAGTATGAAAATTTTGGGGAAAAAAATTAAAATTAAAAAAAGTGAAAATTAAAGCTTAGCAAATACCCTTATATACTGCTCAGAAGTAGTTAGTTTTATAAGATTTAACTTCAATCATTTCTTCAAATTTAGAAACAATATTGCGAAATTTGTTCAGGATTTATTTGGAACATCAGTTTTGCTTGTTTCACTTTTAGAATTATTCTCTCCCCTTAATTGCTTCCAATAACTCTTCTGTAATTGTTAAAGACGAAAATTTATGAAGGATAGAAAGTAAAGACAATTCCTCATGCCTATCTACGTGCAATTAATATTATTCCATCATCGATCGAGAGCTTTTCAATCTTTCCAGCTCCTTAAGTCATTTAAGACCAGAATTTTAGCGGATCAATTCAAAATTCTTATTCTTTTTCTGTTCTACTCGCTAGTTTAATATGGAGAATATGTCTTTGGGCTCAAAATATACTGAGACGCAATATACATACAATAGAACCCTTAAATAAAACTCGAATTATGTAGCTTTTTTACACCAACTGCAGAAATATTTAAAGTATTCACTTAAAAGTTTGAAATTTTAATAGTTTAAAAATTTACAAAATCACATTTTCTATTCTAAATATCAATTTTTTTTCGTTTTTAGCACTTTTCCAAAAAATTTTTGAAAAAAAGTGCTTATTAGTTTCACTCTGTCCGTCCGTCCGTCCGTCCGTCCAACCGTCCAACCGTCCATCCGTCTGTCCGTGTGTCTGTTTACAAAACTTCTACACCCTTGAAGATAGAAAGCTGAAATTTCGTATGTACATAGATCTTTACTAGAAACTTATTTCCGTAGAACAAAATTTTTACCTATCTCCCCCCCTCTAGAAGTTATACCTCCCAAAACCCTAAAAATGGCCTTTTTTAACTATTTGTTGCAATGAAACCATAAGCATTTTTGAAATTTTGCAAACGCAGAAAGGCAGCGGCTTACTTCTTCTAGCGCGGTATCCTATAGTTGAACTTAAGAAGAACAAAATGGCCGTTCAAATTTACCGTTATCTAAAGTGTTTTTTTTGCCAATTTTTGATTTCGTTTTTCTTCTAGACCCCAGTTTGTAGAAGCTTAAAATTTTAGGAACTTTTAGACACTAACAAATGGTTCATTTCGTTTGAAGAAAATTTTTTTCCATCTCCACCCCCTCTCAAGTTATCGCCTCTTGAAATTTGTAAAATTTGAATTTTTGACACCTTATATTTCCGAAACCGCAAGCTTTTTCAAATTTCTATAAACGTAAGAAGCTAACGGTAAATTCCATGACATTAAAAAATATAATTATTTTTCTTAACTAACACAATTAACCCTTAAAATCGAGCATTACGTTAACCCCACTTTATATTAGTTTTTGCTTTATTTCAAAGACTACATAAATCATTCATCCTAAATATATGCAATCCTAGAAATAGTTTTGTACATATATGAATGAAAATTATTTTAATAGAGTTATAGGTATACATAGACTGTATTTAAAAGCAATATTTTCACTTGTTGAAGGGAAAAGTGCTATTATACAAACCATTGGTTTGACCCAACTTTATTTTTTATGGTATAACAAGTGACAGTTGTCTTAAATTATAAATTTTTTTATATTACTTATACAATATTGTAACAAAAACATTTTCATTAAATTAGCATCAAAATTTAATTTAGGCCATGTTAAACCTTATAGTGCCACATAGCAAACGAAGAGTCAATTGTATTTATATGTACTACTTGTGCATAATTCAATCGAAATTAATTTTTGTATAATAGAAAAGAAAATTATTCTTTTAAATAAGAATTATTAGCCATACTGCATCAGATTCTTTTTTGCTATTCCTATTATTTAATTTGCATATAAATGTGATTTTTCCATTTAAAAATAAATTAATATGATTTGCACATTCTTTTTAGATCATTTAACCGTCTCTATACATTTATATGTGTACATTTTAGTATGGTAATCCATTCCGTATAGTCATACTTCCCTTATAATATTAAGAAATATCTATATGCTTACTTTGTATTATAATTGAAGAGTATAATTTGTGTGCCCTATTCGCAAAATATTAACTATAAAATCTTATATTTAAATTGTATATATATATATTTATATAATACAAATATATGTATATATCGTTTGAATTAGCAAGTTATGTAAATTTTAAAAATGAAAATCATTAAACTAAGTAGTGAGTAGCGTAACCATTTATACCTTGCAATGTTTCTGTTTTTTTTTGAATTATTGCAATTCACCAACTTAAAATTTATGTAATACTTTTGTAATACTTTTTAATATATGTATTAAGTAATTTGCTTTTACTTTTATTTTCCACATTGAACGCATATTATTATACATATATAAATTTTTTTTTAGTTTTAAATTTTAATTACTATACATACATAGGCATACATATATAATGTATAAAATATGTATTCATCTATATAAAATTAAAATAAGAAATATGTTAATGAGTAAACTGCTACATAATTGAGTTTAAGGAAAAAAAAAATACAAAATAATAGACCGAGTTAAGAAAGTACTTCCTCCTCCTATCTTATTGTACGAGTAATAATTGTTTTTTGTATTTTGAAAATCAGACAGACAAAATGAAAATGTTCAAAATAAAAATGAAAATCTTTTCATCTTGAAAATTTTCTTTTTCTTATTTTATATAAGATATTATCATTAATATTTATTACGAGAATTAAAGTATATTTTTACTTTCATTTACTTATTAAATAAAAACTAAATGAATTTTTAATTATTTCACTTTTCATGATTATATACGTACATACGTACATACATATACTATACATTAATTATAATTTAAATAAGATTATGAAAAATGACTATGCTATAATTAGACTTTAAACTTTTAAATTATATAAAAAATCATATATAGTCCATTGGACGCCTATCAGTTTATATTCATTTAATTTAAAATAAAAAAATGAGGAAAAAATGAAAAAATATTGTGAAATTTTTGGTACAAAGATTAAAAAACTTTTTGATTATAAATGTGCAAAAGGAATTTTCATTGTTTTGAAAATTACATAATTTTCATTTTAAAAACATTTCAAAAAATTTATAAAACATTATTTTAAAATAGTGTGTACACAGATCTCATAATCGAAATTTTTACAAAATAATAACCAATATTATGTATTAAATATAGTGTAACAAATTCTGTGGTAATAAGGAATAGTCAACGCAAGTCTACTTAATACAAAAATTGGGTTGTTAGTGTACTTGAGTTCTTCATATTTAAAAACAATTTATAATTCAGGAAAATGTGGTTAACTTTAATATGCGGCTTTTATTTATATACGAAAAGTGGAAGTTGATGTTTGGAACTTTTTTTTAACACTTTTCCGTCATTCCTCCATCCGTCCCTCCGTTCACCCATGCGCCCATTCGTTCGTCTGTCCTTCTGACTGTGTGTCTGGTTATAAATTTCAGTCTATAACCAGACACACATATAACCAGATATTTAGTCTTTCAGATAGAAAGCTGAAATTTTATATATAAATAGATGTTAACTAGAAAATTATTTTCGTAAAAAAAATTTTACTTTAAAGTCCTAAAAATGCCATTTTTTAAATATTGCTTGTAATGAAACTACAAATGTTTATTAAATTCTGCATACACAAAATAGTAGTGGTAAACTTCGTCTATGGCGGCATAGATTAGTTTGTTTGAATTTGAACCCTTATTGAATATCTGTTTTTTTTTTCTTCAAATTTTTGATACCCTTTTCTTCTAGACGACAAGCTGTAGGAGTTGGAAATTTTAACATATTTTAAATATTAAAAAATATTTTACTTTATTAGAAGAAAATTTTTTTTTTCCACCTCGATCCCTTCTTAAGTTATCGCATCCCGAAATTTGCAAAATTTGAATTTTCGGCACCTAAATGTATGCAATCATTTGAAATACTTTTGTATATTTGAATAAAAGTAATTTAAATAATGTAATAAATTTTTTGTTAAGAGCAGTATTCCTCCTTGCTGAACAAAAAGTTTGATTTTACTCAACTTTTTTATATTCAATATTTAGCAAAAAATTTTAGGAATAGCATGTCTCCAAAGCGATAATCCGAAACCAAATTTGCATTTAACAGTTGATTTTTTCAATAAATACTATATGAATGTAAAAAATTTAATATATAATAATATTAAGGGATAATGTAAAAAATAGTAAAAAAGGTAATGAAACATAAGAAAAAATTTATTTACAATATTCATTGTCAAATCATTAATGTCAATATTCATTATTAAGATAAAGGAACGTACACTGATTTGTTCCTATATAAATTCACGAAAGAAATAATTTTTTAAAGTCATTATAAAAATATCAAGTAAAAATTTCAAGCAATATTAAAATTTAAATTTTATATGAGTATATATGTGTACTTATATAGTCTCGCTTTTTTAAACTAAATCGGTATATACATATGTAAAATAAAATGTGAAATGTTTACATACTAGCTATTTATATTTTATTTGTTCACTTACCTTTGTTCCATTTAATTCAACATGATTTTTACGTTTAACATCAATTCGAAATGCATTCGAACATATCACAATAATTAAGAGAATATTAAGAATTTCCTTCATAAGCACCATAATTTTTGGATTTTTATCCTTTTTATCGTGATATTCCTTTTTATTTTGATTATTATGGGGCAATAATTTTGCCTCATTTATTTTTTCATATATGTTTCATATAAAATAAATAAATTTTGAATTTTTTGTGCATTTTTTCTTTTCTTATATTCAATTTAAAATATTTTTATACATTTTATATAAATAAATTTTTTTTTGTAACTTTATTGACTTCTTGCACTTTTATTTTAATTTTTTAATTTTTTTTTTATTAAATTTATTTGTCTTTTTTTCATAATTATTTTATAAAAAAATTTTGTTGAACGTTAATCATTTTTGAGTCATACCGTATTAATCTTATGTAGAATCTTATATATACGTGTATAAATATATTTTAAATAAATTCAAAACTGTTGGCAGTTGTTGTACACCATAATAATTTTAAATATATGTAAATATGGTTCAGTGTTAATTTGATATGCTTAAGTTGAAATTGAGTTACTGCAGAAGTTTAATTTTTTTAAATAATTAATTTTTTTGTAAATAAAAAAAAGTTCTTTTAATTTTTAAATAAATTTCTAGTATTAAGGGAAACTATAGGTATTAAATTATTTTAAAAAATAATGGTTGTTTAGAAATTTTTTGCGTAGGGTGAATTTTTTCCTTAGGAAGAAGTTACTGTGAAAAATAACCGTCAGGTTGTTCAAATGATTATCTGTTAAAAGAACTATACTTGTTACCATGCGTTTTTTGTGTCAATTATTGTAATTACGAGTATACAATGACAATTCACCATGAAAAGATTGAACAACGCTATCAAATGTAGAAAAAAAGCAGAACTAGTTTCTAATTAAAAAACTACAGATTGTCATCGAAATATGCACAATAATTTTTTGTTTGCATAAATATAAGTAATTTAGGCAAAAACAATAAACATGTCATATGTGATATGAAGCCCATTTCGAGAAAAGGCAGTATTAATTTGAAATCAATTAGCGGTTTTACGATTTGTAAAATAGAAATGTTTGCAATATTTTTCGTATTATTCATGACATACGACTAGTTGTGCTCAAAAATGTGACATAAATTTAAATGTCCAGAATGTAGTTCATTAAGAATAATCCATTATTCAATAAATAAAAAGAAGTTTATTTTTCAATTTGAAATTTTATTGGCCCTAACATAACACTTTAGAGAAATTGTCGGTTTAACAAAAATATAATGTACAACGATAACAAAATTTATCAAAAATCTTGATTTCATCTCAAATAACTAGAAGTTGAAAATTTTATTTCATGTTAAAGTTAAAATAAAAATTACATAGCAATTACAAAAAAAGAAAGCGTGTCAAAATTTTCAGCGCCTTATTTTTTAGTAATTTAGCTGTTTGCACAACATCATGCCTTCACTATATATGCAATCAAATCGATTGTGATAAGTTCATTTTTATCATGAATTATTATTAGTTTCGTGCCTTTTACAACAAAAAAATAAAACAGAATCTTTTTAAAATAAAATTGCTATGAAATATCTCGTAAAATTGTTGTGTATACAAGTACATAGGTGCTGAAAGTCTGAATAATATATAGATATGCTTTGTATATAAATAATTGCACATTTTTTTCAATACGTCACGAAACGGGATGTGCATTAGTCCCAGCGGAACAAAATCCATAACAAAAGAGGAAAATAATACGAGTAAACAAAAATAAAATAATAAAATAAAATCCCCACATAAACACCAATGTCTAACAAAGAAAAATTTTTTATAGTAAATATTTATAAACTTCTGTGGGGATAGCAGCAATTTTTATTTTAAAAAGAAAATCAAACAAAATTGTAAAATTACTCTTTTAAAAGAATATAAAATTTTTTTTTTATTTTTCAAAATAAACAAAACGTCTATATATTTAATGTATGTATGTTTGTATGTACAATTATAAAATTGTATAAAAATACCTACACCTTCAATTAAATTAAGAATTTTGTTTTGTTTTGATTAATCACTTTAATAAATCATTTTGCAAACATTTTATTAACACCACATAAACACAAAGAATTTAAAAAAGGAATAATCAAGTAAAATATACAATAAATACAAAAATTAAATAAAGGGCAATAAATCTTTAGGTTTATTTTAAAATTAGAAAAATGCATAAATTGAAAATAATTCAAAAAATTAATTTAAAAAATATTAAGAAAGGAGCTTGGATGCGCAATTCGAAACCGAGTGTTATGAAAGAAATTCATGTCCCATGTTATTTTAAAGTCTATATGTTTAACATGGCAATTTGCTGACTTGTCAAAGAAAATTCCATTTCATCATTTCTATTAATTCTATTCGCTTTTTGTTCATATGAATTAAGTAATTCACACTAAAAGTATGTCTGAATATATAAAATTCATGAGATCGGAGATTTTATTTCCACATTATTGAATAAGAACGTAAGGAAATGAACAAAAAGGAATTACTGTATGATATTAAAAAAATTTATAGAACAATAAATAATAATAGTATTTGGTAATCAATAAAGAAAAATGTTAACTATGATCTTTACAATGTTTTTACTATCAAAATGTAATAATAACGATGCTGATGATAAGTAGGTCTGTTCTAAATAAGAAAATCGCCTCAGATCATAAGAAAAATGTGAAAAATGTGAATTGTAATTCGTAAAATCACAAAAACTGAGAGAAATATAACACGTAATAATTTCTCTCGATTTATTCCATAGTTTTTTAGGGAATGAGTAGTATGTAAACATTGAAAAATATTACCTAGACTGTAACTATAAGTACTATAACATTGCCTACATTGTTTAAAGTATAGAAAACCTCAAACTGCTTTTCAGTTTATGAATTTTTTATTTCTTAAGAGCTTAAAAGTCAATTAGTGTAAATTGTAGATTCAAACAGTGGCAACAATACTTAACAGTGTTAGTTAGCTATAACAAATTAGTTTTAACGTAAATTGAGCGAACAACAACAGAAAATATACGACATGACCATTAGTTTAAAAAATACAAATCTAATTTTTTTGTCAATCAAAGACTTAAGAATAAAGCATCATTGGTATACAGCTCACTTTTGATTACATAGCTTACTTTTAAGTCCTGCTCGTACAAGTGAATACGAATAGGAACACATATGTAGTATGTATGCGCAAATGAAACACAATTTCAAGTGGCACTCTATATTTGTATCAAATATAATAAGAATATATTTAGTCAGCTTGCTATTTTGATTATTATCGAAATATCGGATGGCAGACGAGAAAAGTCTTGAAATAGATTTTGTGTAATATGGAAAAAAACAATAATTGTGTAATTATGTATGTATTTAAGTATTTTTTAAATTTAAAAATAGTTAATCAATTTTAATTTTTAATTACACAATTTATTCTTTCATTAGCGCTGTAATTATGTTTATTGTAAATAAGTAATAAATTACACATTGTTCATGGTTAAAAATATTATAAATTTGCCTCAAATAATTCGAACGTATACGAGTACATTATTTATATTTGGATGAAAATTTGATTTTAACCTACATTCGAATCAAATTCAAATAAAATATGAATTTATTAAATTTTTAAAATTTAATTCTACCATTCCGTAGCAATATAGGATTCAATTTTCAATTATTCCTTTTCACTCCGAATTTTCTTTAATTTAAAACTAAGTAGCTATTTACAAAAATTACTGATTAAACAGTTTTAAAATACTAAATATTAAAAAAAAATTAATTAACTATTATTTGAATTACACTTAATTAACGTTACCTCGAGAATTCTCGTTTGATAACGTTATTCAATTTGAAAATAATGAAATATTTTCCGATTTACACTATATACTAATTCCTAAAATTACACGAAAAATAGCGTGTTTATACAACAATTGTAAACTAATTTTTACACAAAAAGGTCATGTAAAGGGAATAGCCATAGCCGGGAAATGAAACATCAATTTAATTACAAAATAACATAAAAAATTATTAAATTTATTTTTTTTATAATTAACTAATAATGGTTTTTTTTTTGTAAACCGCAGGTTTTAGAAGTTTGCGGCTTTTAGACACACAAACAATTTATTTCGTTAGAAGAAATAATTTCTATCCTCATCTTCTTTCGAGTTATAGGCTCGGCACCTTATATTTTCGAAACCACAAGATTTTCCAAATTTCTATAAAAAGGAAAATTTAACGGTAAAGTCTATGACATCAAAAAATGTAGTAATTTAACTTAACTCATTCAATTAGGCCTAGAATTGGATCATTAAGCTAAAGCTTTTTTATTTTTGTTTATCCTAAATGTATGCAATAGTTTGATATATTTTAGAATGCTACCGAACGAACATAATTTGACTAGCTAGCATGTAAATAATAATTGTTCTATTCAGTTTTAATGAGTATTTTCAGTTGTTCAAGGAAAAATTGTTCTTTTACATTCCTTTATATACAGGTATATTATTGCTTAAAACCGTATGAAATTGAAAACGAATTAAACCGCAATTACCCTATATTAAAAATTAAAGGAATGAATGTTTGTACATATATTCATATGTAATGAGTGTACTATGTTGATATGATTACTTGTGAAATAGAACAATAGTTGATATTATGTTAAAAATTTTGAACTTCTTCAATTTTTCATAAATTCGCTATTATTATTATTTTTATTCAAAAATAATTTCAAAATTAATTGGGTTATAATGAGAGTGATATTCTCATATTTATATAATATAAGCGTACATGTGTGATAAATATGAATGTGTATAAATATATTTATAATAGTATGACAACGTGCTTACAAATTCTTTTAAAAAGTTTTTGAAATTAATAATAAAATATTAAATGTAATTTTGTTTTTCAACTCAAATTATTACTTTTGAAAATATATAACAATAATATGATAAAAGAAACTTATTAAACTACCATATTTTATGCACTAATTGGTATTAAAATAAATATTAAAAAAAATATTTATAGGTTATAATTTTGTTTGTACACATATACACAATGTATAATAATATATTTTATATTATATGTGTTTGTGAGTAGATTATGTTTAAAGCGAGCTATTAAAATATTGGTTAGATTGCACTATAAAACTAACACGATTTTGATTTCGTGTGTTATGTTGGAATTAATTCCATTCTTTTATGTTTTGATGCGCTTTATGATTTTCATAGAAAAAAAAAATTGTAGAAAAATAAAACAGAAAAATTATTTTTAATAAAATTGATTTTAACAGGGTCATATTTTAGGTATTGTACCTATAGCTTTTTTTTTAAATTGTGTTTTTGTTATAATGTGATATAAGTTGTATAACACTTAGAAGAGCCACTAAGAAGTAATCAATTAAGAATGTATAATAAAGAATTAATTATTATTTTATTTTATTACCGTATTCATTAAAATATTTTGAAACTGAAATTATAAAATATAAAGTTTAAGAAATGTAATTATATTATTCATTATGGCGCATTTATATACATACTATA